GAAGTTAAACCCTTGCCTTTTTTCATTATTCACCTATTACCACTCACTGGTGCCCCGCCATCGTATACCGATAGCGCAGGCGGGGTTACCATTGCATTAATCATTCATTAAAAAAAAAAAAAACTACTTTTGAGCGAATAACTATCTGGCTTAATGATGTAAATACTACTGACACATTGGCGTTGATTCAGAGGCGCCATTCGTCAAAATTCATCTTTAAAATTAAAACTTCAATTTGATATCACAGCGAAAGGTTTAATGTAAAGACCGTTATGAAACAATTTTGGATTATATTTATGTCAAAATTATTATAATTTTATACCCTAAGGTCATGTCGTCCCGGCATAGAATAGGCTACCCCTTCCTTTCCCGTGGGTGTTGTAAGAGGCGACTAAGGGAGGGCGAGGGACGGCAGCAGTCCCTCTTAAAACATCTCTAAAGGCTACCTGCGGTTGCCAATCTGCCTGTCAAGCGTGGCAACTACTTTTATACATATTTTGCGTGTAACCTTTTGCCCGCTACTTCGTACTCATGGATTCCAAAAGTAGGAAAACCAACTAAAAATACCATTTCTTGATGGCGTATCAAAATAAAACATATACCTGATTTTAAACCTTCAGAAATACAACTGTGAAATCTACATCTAATTTTTTTTTTATACAACTTAGAATGGCAAACAAGCCGACGGTCCACCTGATGGAAAGTGGTAACCGTCGCCTATAGACATGAGCAGTACCATGGACATAACAGAGTACTGTTTCGCCCATGATACCCCCCATGCGTTGCCATTCCTCAGACGGACTCAGATGTTATTCCTCTGTACCCAGTAAATTCACGCCATATCCCACCCTTCAAACCGAAACACAACCATGCAAACAAAACTGTTTTACGGTTGAAACACGAATGGGACAGAGGTACCCAAGCAATCGACTTCTGTACAAAATCTCCCTCTGGTATTGTAACTATCGATTTTACAATGTCAAGATGATTAATCAAATATCAATTAGGCATAATAAAGACCAATCAGGCATTAAACCGTCCATTAGGTGCTGATACGTAAACATGCACTTCGTTATTATAACGCAGTCGGTTTTTGCCGTAAGCGGAGCACCTTCCATTGTTCCCCCATATCAGTTAACACAATACTGTCCACTGGCAGACGTATTGTTCTTTCGATAACTGCTGACCGTCACTCCAACCGCATACTTCAGATAACGCGGCCTGAGTAATTCATGCTCAGTATAATGTAACAAACAAAGTAATTTTTATACCATAAATGTGACAAACAAATACATAGCCTTTTTAATGGTAAATGGTTATGGTAACCTACGAACGTCTCCAAAATTCCAACAGTACGATTCACTTGCGAATTTGCCAAAATTGAATAAAACCTTTTTTTTACAACACAGGGGACAAACAAGCATGAGGCTCACCTAATGGTAAGTGAGTACCGCCGCCCATGATCACCTACAATACCAAAGCCATTTCAGGTGTGCTGCCGGCCTTTTAAAAAGGAATATGCTCTTTTCTTGAAGGTTATGTTGTCGTATCGGTTCGGAAATACTGCTACTGGAAGTTTATTCTAAAGAGCTATTATCATGCCATTTTTAAATGACCTTGTTCTGTAATCGGTAAAGAAAACGTCGTCAGGAAAACAGGGAAAGTTAATTCCACAAGTGAAGCCCAATCCACAGCTCGAGCGTTTACGGGAGGAAATTCCTCTATAACTGTACTGTACGCGACCATTTAGGTTACAGACTGTAAAGACGAATTCCCTGTCGATGGCGAGCGGTGTACGCATCATTTTGAACGATTCCTCGGAACACAATCCGTTATATAAGCGACAGAACACACAATGGATTCGATACCGCTTATGAGCTTGGGATTGTTGACAAATTACGTAGCGACGACCTACCACAACCTGTTACGTCTTTAAATCGAGTCTAAATGAACAGAAAATTAAGGAAAAATCGCCTTCCATCTTGAAAAAATTTGTATAGACAAATAAAGATTTACTATTCAACTAAAAAAAAAAATAATCAAAATCGGTTTACAAGTGGAAATATGTATTGCGCCTTTTGTACAAATACAAGTGTATGTATACTCAGAACATTAATTAACGCTACTACGTGCAAAAGAATTATCGTGTTTAGGTCTAATCAATTTGAAAACAAACAAAAATCTGGTCCACATAGATGTCTCTATCAGCCAGATGTGAGTTTCTAAACAGCAACCTAATAAATAGTGCTACAAGAACTATTAATTGACTTGTTATTTTATACTAACGGGAATAACAAACAAATTGAAGGACAACCTGAAATAAAGTGATAAATAACCATCCTGTATAATCTATATGTAGAAATAAGAGGGAGACTGTACAAAAGTCGATTCTCCCTCTGTCCCATTTGTGTTTCTACTGTGAAGCAGTTTTGTTTGCATGGCTGTGTTTCAGTTTGAAGGGTGGGATATGGCGTGAATTTACTGGGTACAGAGGAATAACACCTGAGTCCTCAGGAATGGCAACGCATGGGGGTATCATGGGCGAAACAGTATACTCTGTTATGTGCATGGTACTGCTCATGTCTATAGGCGACGGTTACCACTTTCTATCAGGTGGGCCGTCAGCTTGTTTGCCATTCTAAGTTGTGTAAAAATAAAAGAAACTAATATATGCTAATGACATCCCCAGATTTCTATCAAGGAAAATCTATCTAGATTTTCCTAAAGATTAACATGTTAGACATCACATTTCAGATATTGCTTTCAGGCTGAAACTAGCAACATCTGTCAAGCAAAATACATTAAAAGTCATGCAGCCAAATGTGACTGAATAACAAACATACAGACACCATGACAAACTTTCATAATATATTAATAGGAAAGCATTTAAGTCAAGTCAAAAATAGATATTGCAATTAAAATGTAATAACTTGTACTTAAATTTGCGACAAGTTTCTAAATATTATATAAGGGGGGAAAGGGATTGTTAGCAATGGAGTTTGACAGCCCCATTGCTAGCAATATGCCTTATTAGGTCGACCTCCACGTGGTTCCCCTTGGAAACCATCGTGAACAATTCTCGTTGAATTCGTCACGATGGGCTAACTGACCTACTTCATCCTCACCTATCATCCTTCACTGGTGCCCCGCCGGTGTATACCGATAGCGCGGGTGGGGTTACCATTCCATTATCATCCATTAACAAAAATAAATATTATATAAATATTTTATAGTCATTTAAACATTTAATTAAACAGTGTCAAGTGATAATGTGTATGCAAATACAATAATTAGATAGTAGCACAGTGTAAATAATGTGTTTAATTAGTGATTATTCCTGCTTAGATATGGTACAATGTACGACACAAACATTCCGAATATTATATGCTGTGGGGAACTAGAAGCTAACCTGATATATAGACAAAATATTTTATACAATCTTGCATTTGGGAATCCTATTTTATTAATAGTAAAAAAAAAAAAAAACTTAAGGAGAACAAGATAAAATTAAAAACAAACAAATTTCATTGAATAAATATCATATGTAATTAAAGATAATATGTGTTTGAAAGCTATTTCTTTTTATTCAACTTTAATGACAAACTCGACGGCCCACCTAATAGAAAATGGTAACCATCGCCTATAGACACGAGCAGTACCTCAAACAGAACACAAAAAACAATGTACCTTTTGTGTTGCTGAGTACTAAAACGTTAGGCTTCCATACCCCATAATATCACTGTAATATTTCTACACATTTAAAATTAAAATAGCCATGAGCATTTCTGCTTGTGACAGAAAGATGAATGACACATTGAACACAACTCTATCATATTAAAATTTAGCTTGCATTTTATTGTTTTTGTAATCTAGTGAATTTTATACATATGTCAAAACACATTCATATAAAAATTGAGCACATAGACAAATAGAGATGATTTATTTGTCACAAATCCAGTTGGATTTTTATTAAAGAATTTTATTGTTAAAAGAATGGAAAACTATACACAGTTACTGGTAGTTGGCGACTGACACAACATTGGGACCAAGGTCCCCTAATAAACAATATATATCTATAAAGTAATTTAAATAATTTACATTCCTAAATTACTATTATGGCATTGTTGGATATGGAAATATAGAGAATTTATTAATATTATTTTCCCAAATTTCAATGGAAAAATACTGATAAAATAATTATTTCAATATGGAAATCTTAAACAGCAAGTATTTCACTAAGTATATGTATACACAGTTTACAAAGTTTGTGGCACACATTTATTTTTACTAAGTTTGGTATATTTAATTCAAGTTTATACTATTTTATATTTACATAAAATAGTACATTTATAAATGATTGTTTTATATTGCAGAATTATGGTTGTGATCACTCTTTTTTAATTAATACATACATTAAATATAATAATATTTAATGTATCTTTAATAAAAAAAAGTCACTTAATAATAATTGATAAGTGTATGAAATAATATTAATGCTCATAATGACATTTTGGAATAAAAATAAATATTGAAACCCAACTATTTATACATCTTCCTGTTAGAAATATATCACATTTGTGATACACAATTGGTCTGACTAATTTATTATATGTTACAAATTGTTATTTTAATCAAATTCAGTTAGATAATACTTTAAATACAATAAATATATTAGGTAATAAGAAAATGTATTAAGAAACATTAAAACTAATTATCCAAAAGAATTTTATCACAATTGATATTAAATAAATACTTTTTTTATATGGACTGTCATTATAAAATTGGTAAGATTTATCTTTTAAAATAATTTAAAAGTGACAACAAGAATACTTTATAGGCCCTAAAAATCCTTGTTCTTATCCATTAAAGAAAAGCTACAACTTCTTTAATAGTAAATATATGTAGAGCTACAACTTATATGTATAGAGTAGATGACTAAATGTCAATAAATCTAAACTTTATAAATAGTTTGACTTGGTGTAGAACACTTTGGTACTCACCTTGTTGTGTGGCAGCACTATGAAGGCGCCTCCGCCGGCGGACTCCACGATAATCGCCAGGAATTTGGGGTTCACGGCACAAAACGTAGAGTCCCAAGAACTTTTCGATACTCTTATATTATCATAACACTGCTCCCTTTTCAGGGCTTGCCCGTAAACGTGGCGGAATTTTGAACTACGAACCACTCTAAATGACATCTGCAACGCGAAATTATCACACGGTTAACAACAAAACAATAAACATTACGTTTTATCCGAACAATTTCATATAACATAACCTCCAATTCACTAATGACCTATATTTTGACATAAAATACTTGGAATGAATACCAACTCACTTTTATTTATAAGAGGAAATTATATTAATTACACAAGAGAATAAAATTGAATCATTTGAAAATAACTCAATAATTTATAGAAAATAAAATAGAGAGCTACTAAGAATCGAAGGGAGGACGGTTGGGAAAACGAGCGAACTCCATATTTGGTAATGCCTACAGCCGCTACATTTGACTGATTTTAAACTGACATCCAGGTGTTTGAAATAAAATAATGCTTTGCTCGTAGGATTGAAGGGAAATATGTAGAAATTATATTTAAGTATTAGAATTTTTAATATCGAATTTTAATGTACTTTTTCAAATCTTAATTTACAATGCAAATTTAATATTTTGGAACGCACCTTGCCTACGTCAAATGCTAACGAGTTACGAATGTGTTCAAATTTTATAATTTGAAAATTAAACAAGCACACAATATTTTAATTTATGAGTAAATTCATTTTTTACATTAAAAAAATTTGTAAATTCAGATTTATAAACTTACTTTTGGCACCCGTAAACAAGATTCTGGTTCCGATCTTCTTGTAGGAGTTTGTGAGTGATAACTATGGCATCGTTCTCTTCCAACTCTTTTCGAGACCGGTGCTCTGGTTTTAGGACTAGTAAAGCTGTTGTGCCTTTTTATTTCTTGCTGGAAATTCAAAACAGAATATAAGGATTAAATATATTTACTTGACTCAAACATAAATGTCTATAATATTGTTGAAAAATATTATATTTATAGGTTTTTACTAGGCTCTTTAAAAAATCGGCATGTTGTGTAAGGTAGCCCAGCATTTTACTTCTATTCTTCATTGTTTTAAGTTCTTTCCTTATTCGCCTTTTCAAAACTTCCTCGTTTGTTTCTTTTTCTGTCCAGCTTATGCATTCCATTTTCCTCCATATCCATATTTCGAATGCCTATTTTCTTCTGTGTGACAACATGGACAATGACGCAAATGGAAAGAAAGATGTTTGAAAAGAAAATTAGTTGCACGGTAAGAAGAAACTCTTAAATAAGAAGAAGAAAAAGAGATACTATACGTACTTTACTATTTCTTGAGTAGGCAAGTAGGTATAATAGTTTCGAAAGAAAGCTCCGTTTTAAATATATTACTTTTATTATCACTTTTAAGTATTGATTTAAAGTTTAAATTGTTACATAAATGATGCTTTAGATTATGGGCAATGCATTGCATAAATTCACATGTTTATCTTAATCTATCATTATATTATGTCACTATATCACATAGAAATCCTGCATTTACATGTAAAGGCAAAACTAAATACAAAAATTTAATTAAAACCATAAAACTTACCATGTCAAAATCCATGATTCTTTAGTTTTTACTTTTAAGATTTTAAATCCAAATATCACTTTTGCAGCTATGGATTAAATTATCTCGTTCCCATTCTATATTTTGTAAACAAGGGTAGATGTAAAAAAAAAATAAAGTTTAATCTCACTTTAAGGTTTTTACATTTACCACAGCCGGAAACACATCAATTAAAAATAATTAATTAAAACATGAAACTATTAAAACATTAAGAAAGTACATATATTAACAAATTCAATTACTTATAATGTAATATTTTTATTTGTTAATGGTAAATATATATCTATAAGCAAAAAATCTTTACATCTTACAACGTGTACTTTCACAGTAACTGTGGATTTACTTCGTTACAAAAAAGTCTGAGTCCAATCGCCTTTATATTTTTTAATTACGCTCCTTCTAACCATTTCTTTAATTAATTAAGTCTTTTTTTTAATTATCAGAACATTTTTTTGTTCATTTCCAAAATTTAATCTGTGGACTTTTTCAGTGTTGTCTGATTATTAATATTTACAAAAAAATTAGTAATTTGATCCCTGGACGTTTTTAATACAAAATGTACATAATCATTAACAAGAAATGACATAAATAATTCATATAAATCTGTACATATATAATTAATCTATATATCGTGAGTCTTACTGTATTATAATTATTTAATCGATCGTGCATCCATTGGTATTTAAAATAATTTTCAGGGAAAAGAGGCTCTTTTCCCACAGTCCTGAAAATTTATTTTGCTATCGCCCCCGCCTCCCCCTTTACAAAAAGATCTCGCTCCTCAAAAAAATTCATATTATGTAATCTAATAAACCTATTTGCTAATAGCTATCAGCATACTGGAGTGGGCAACAGACGTTCTAGGAAGGATTTGGAGGATTGTTAGTAATGGAGATCTAACAGCCCTATTGTTAGCAATATATTTTGTCAGGTCGACGTCCACGAAGTTTCACCTAGAAAACATCTTGGTTAATTCTATAAGAATTTGTAAATAGGCAGTATAATTTTTACTGCCAATTTTTATAAAAGATTTTTATAATGCTTCTAATTCTATTTACAACACATTTAAAGATCTAAAAGTTTTTAACTTACTTATGTATAAAATGAGTAATTACTACCCATTTAAATCGTTTCAAAGTACACTGTACTGCAAATATATTCTTTATGATTTATATTACGTTCAGTCATCATTTATATACTATAAAATATTTAATGTATACGTACAAATAATTATGTTTTCAAAGCAATTACAGTTATAATTTAATTATTCACATTAGAATAATTAATAATATAGGTGAATACTATCTATCTATTCGCTCTTAACTATATATGTATTGCGATATTCTTCTTTATTACATTATTAATTATTATTATAGTAATTTTAAGTGATCGAACTTGGGGGGAGGGGGAAGGTTTTGTTAGTAATGCGGACTACTAGTTCCTTTGCTAGCAATATACCCTGTCACGTCGACCTCCACGTGGCCCCCCTTAGAAGCCATCGTGCTGAATTCTAGGCGTATTCATCACGGTGACCACGGGCACTGGTTAAATATTTTTTAACAATGTTGATAGCGTCGTCTTCAAACTTGCAATGACTGAAAAATTATGAATAATTTGCCACTTGAAAGTATACTTTCCATGGTGTAACTAAGAACGCATTCAGCTCATATAGCTAAGATGCACCGGCTATTGACAGGTTTTTCAACATTTTCGTAATTGAATGGAAAATGTAATTTAATAAAAAAATTGGGATATTAAAAATATATAACTTGCAACTATAATAAACTGTCAGCAGTCAAGTGTCTTGCTGTCAGTGTCAATTCAATACTGTCAATTGTTTTACTGTTGTACGTCGTTCGTTTCGTTGCCTTGTCATTTTGTCGGAAAAAGTTAGAAAATCTATTAGTCTGTTTGTGTGAATCATTTTTATTTCCATAATTTCTGTTCTTTTGACTATTGAAATTCACAGGATGTATTAAATAGAACTTTTTCAAACTGCTAACAAATCGGAACAATGGAGCCGACACTGTCCAAGGTATTTTCACAAAAATATATTTTATTTAGTGTTAATATTTTGAACAATAACATTTTTGTTAAATCGAGTAACGTTAAAAAAAAAAAAACATGAAAATAATAAAGAATGTTATATTTGCAATCTAATAAATTGAATCTAAGACTACTAATTAGAATACTTCACAATAGAATTTGTTTTCTTCGTCCGTGTGCGCTGTCCGGCGTTTCTTGAATATTGACATTAATTGGAATAAAAAGTTTCTTATTTATTTATTTATTCTTTATTGTACACAAAAAAAAAATATTACATATAATATATATAAAATAAAGGTGTACAATAGGCGAGCTTAACTCTGTAAGAGTTCTCTTCCAGCAAAGCCTGAGTGGAAAGGAGCATTAATTATTTATTAGCGGGCAGTATGCGTACAATAATAGAAGGAAACATTATTGATGTTTCTATTAAAACATATGAAATATGTTGACTACATAAATAACTCATACAATTAAAATCAAAATAAATACATATCTGTATACATATACATATATACATAGACATAAAATATCTCTTTACATACAAAAAAATAGGTACATATACATACATAGACATAATAAGTTTATGAGGACAGAAGATGCTCTTTTAATCTGCTCTTGAATATATTCAGCGATTGACTTTCACGAATATGCAGTGGAAGAGAGTTCCATAGTCTAGCCGCATGAACCGTAAATGATCCACTATAGCATGAGGAGGTATGAGGAGGGATTTTAAGAATAAGGGATTTACTCGACCTACTGGACATGCCAGTGGGGTTCTTACGTATTATTATAGGACAATTCCATCCACAGATTAAATTTCATTAGAATCCTATCAACTGTCTTAGTGTCATTGAGTAATAAACATCTAAACATAAACTTTCATATTTATATTAAGAATTTTTACGGCTTGTCTTTAAAATATTGCTGTACTCGTAGCGCTTAATTTAAATAAAAATTTTTTTGCTTGTACTTATTTTTAGAGAACAAGAAAATATTGTTTTTTTTTTATTTCTAATTTAAAAATATTGTAATTTTTTTCTTCTTTATTCCCTCTGTTAATATGTTACTAATATAAAAAACTTGTGACTGTACTGTATCTGTATATAGGACATATTTAAGATAATATGATAACTCTTAATAAGGTCAATAGAAGCTAAAAAAATATAGAAATTTTGTCTGTCTATATGTTTGTTCTAGTGTCACGCAAAAAATAATTGTACTAAATTGAATGTGGTTTTCACATTTGAATTTTTGAAGGTCTAACTTAAAATCTGGTGTATGTTTTATCTCAATACCCAATTGAGAAGTGGTAAAGATCATTGGTTTTTCTATTTCTGAAATTCACACATAAGAAGTATAAGATTATGTTAATTTAGTGTCTAATATGAACTACCACTTTGTCGGTGATTCTTTTGGTTACCTACATCAAATCATTGTTTATTTTATATATAACTAGTGGTCCGCCCCGGCTTTGCATGGGTACAATGCTGATACTAAATAATGCCATCTGCCACCCATAATATTACAACATCACATTAGAAACCTCTAAAATTATCAGTATTTCTCTACTATATTACGCATGTATTATACATATAAACCTCCCTCTTGAATCACTCTATCTATTAAAAAAATCTACTACAAAATCTGTTGCGTAGTTTTAATGATTTAAGCATACATAGGGACAGACAGACAGCGACAGCGACTTTGTTTTATACTATGTAGTGATATATTTATGTTTAAATTTTTCACTAATAGTTGCAACCTAATGGCTTTGTTGCAGTCACATTTATTATTGGATCATGCTGTGTGCACATGTTGTGGCAAGTTTACCTGATATGTACTTGCACATTATAATTTAAGTTTTTATTTGTAAACTTCTGTTATGTGCGCCTAATAAATAAAAAAATATACTTTATTATTCAGACTACAATTTGGTCCATTTTGTTAGTAACAATTTTCTTACAAACTATGTTAGTAAAAAAGAAAAAAATATTTTGTATATTCGTGCCTATTAAATCATAATCATAATTTAAATATTTGTATTTCCATATTTACTGTAATATTGTGTTTGAACGGTGCATATTGTGAACTGTCATTTATCTGTGTCATTTGTAGTGTCCTACCGAAACAGGTTTTACAGCCGAAACCGAAACCAAACTTTCGGCCTTGGTTTCAGTTTCAGCCGAAACCGAAACTCACTGAAACACATTTAAAATTTCTCTTCTATACTGAAATATAGTGTATTTTTTACACAATTATTGACACCAACACACAGATAAATAAAAGGTAAACATTTACAAAACTTAAAAAAAAAGCACCTTTCAGTTAGACACACACACAAAGTTTCCGTTTGGTCGAAAGTTTCAGTTAATTTTTGGCCGATAGTAGAATTTCTGGCCGAAACTAGCCGAAAGTTCAGTCGGACACTAGTCATTTGTATAGTTTAATTACTGTTTACTTTGTATGTTTTAAACAATATCTTATTAATAAATATAATTTATGTTATAAATATTATATTTACATATATTTAATATTTATAACATAAAATATATTATTATGGGTGAATGATGTGCAGGAGCATCCCTTTTAAAAGACTTCTAAAAGCCTAACTACTGTTGCCAAGCGTGGCAATTACTGGCAAAACTCCCCTTATGGGAAAGGCTTATGTCCAGTAGTAGACAGTCAATGGCTGAAAGAATTAAAATAAAAATTCATATTTAATAATTTTATATTCATTTTTATAAAATATGATCAATTCATTTTCATAATAATTAATGAATTTACAAAATAAGGACTAGTAATTCAAGGACTCGGTGGCAGTATCAATGATTATAAAAATGTATCGCCATTTTGGAAAGGGCAGTCATATTCGAAACAAGGAAATGAATGGAACTGTGAAATGTAGATATATCGAGAAAGCAGAGTTGCATTTTACACCTGTCACTCTAAAAAAAGCTTGACTCTAGTAAAAGTGTTATTTGTTAGTTTTGTCTTTTTCTTTTAAACTATATTCTTATTTCAAAAGAAAGTGTTGTGTTTTGAAATAAGAATTGTGAAAGTAAAAAATGCATTCCAGACAATTTATCATATTGAAGACTAGGCAGCATGGTCTCCGACCTTAGCCTGTTCCACAACGGAACAAACGTACTTAAAAAAAAAAGTAAAAAATGCTATAATAGTTATGCAGTTATGAGGTTCTATAGAATTAACATGCTTCCTTATTTTATGAATTCGGGGATATATATATTTTTTTGTGTAACATGCTGATTTTTATATTTATAACAGATGCACATAACATATACTGCATGATTACATTCACAACAGTGAAAACATACTAAATACATAATAATTATAACAAGGCTTAAATAATAAAATCTAAAAATTGTATGATTAAATTTGTCTTAATCCTGTTTTAACTGACTTCAAAAAGGTGTGTGTGTGTGTGTGTGTGGGGGGGGGGAGGGTTAATTATTTATTAAATTCTTTATTGTACACACCAGTTATAAGAATATGACAGCGGTAATCAAATGTACAAAGGCGAGCTTAACTCTAATAGAGTTCTCTTCCAGCAACACCCAAAGTGGAAAGGAGCATCAATGTAATGCAAATATCAATGTAAATGCAATAAAAATCAAAAAATGCGAGTAGAGAGGTGTACAATATTATGACAAATTTTTAAGCAAACTAGACTAGGGTTCTCAATTCGTTTGAATGATTTTTTTTAATGATTGTTACCTCCATGGAGGTATTCCATCAGTTGTAAACTGATTTGGCAAATTCTTTTCTTATCTGTAAGGATATACAGATTGTTCACATAGAAATTTTATCAAATTTGGTTCAGTAGTTTTGTTCCTAAATTAAAATAACTGGTTTTTTAAAGCAATAAACTGTGTTGTGACCATTTTGTATTGTTATGGCACATGCCCAAAAGAAAATTGTGCTTGGCTTTATGTATTTTTTTTAATCATTTATGTTATTTCGCTTTTTATATATATATATATATATATATATATATATATGTGTTGTAATTTGTGTGCTGTACGTAATGCTCTATCTATTTATCTTTTGCTACAATGGAAGTCCAGTTTTCTGTGAAACACAATCTTAATGGGGGGGAAAGAGATTGTTAGTAATGGAGACTGAGAATCCTATTGCTAGCAATATACCCAACCAGGTCGACCTCCTAGCGGTTTCCCCTGGAAACTATCATGATTAATTCCTGATGAATTCATCGTGATGGGCTAACTGGCCTGTTTTCATTCTCATTTATCACCCTTCACTGGTGCTCCGCCAGCGTATCCCGTTAGCGCAGGCGGGGTTACCATACCATTTTCACCCATCAAAAAAAAAAACACAATCTTAATTATTATTCTGGTAGGCAACACTAATGTAACGTGACTACCAAATTTAAATACAAGTATTTTTTATTTTGTTTTTTTTTTCCACTGAATGCACTGCTAATGGCTTTGAGTGATTGTTATCTAAATCTAATCATGTTTTTTTTTTTAATACAAAAGAACTGATACTGAAATAATGTTGTTTTACCATTATTTATGTTTTTGTATCCAGATGTTACCTACTGATTACATAAGTGTTTACTGGCCTTCAAGGGTGATGACTCCAAATAATTTATTTATTTATTTATTACGTCCACGGAATGAGCTTTACAGTCTTCTAATACGCTCACCCAGGAATAATGCTATTTACTCGGACAAATGGTATTTTAATTAGATGTCAAATCAATATTTATTTTTTTTTTGATGGGTGAAAATGGTATGGTAACCCCGCCTGCGCTAACGGGATACGCTGGCGGAGCACCAGTGAAGGGTGATAGATGAGAATGAAAATAGGCCAGTTAGCCCATCATGATGAATTCATCGGGAATTAACCATGACAGTTTCCAGGGGGAACCGCGAGGAGGTCGACTTGGTTGGGTATATTGCTAGCAATGGAATTCTCAGTCTCCATTACTAACAATCCCTCCCCCCTCCTTACTAATATTATAAATGTGATAATGCATTTGCTTTTTTGTTTGTTACCTTATCATGCCTTAATGGCGTTAACAATCACTATGAAAACTGGTATAAATTTTGTACCATACGGAGGGGAGAAATACATAGGCAACATTTTCTCCTAGCTAGTGAACATATCTCAGTCACACAAAGTAGCGGGTACAAGCTAGTATATATATAAAACCAATTTAATTAATCTTTACTTTCTATTGCGTGTTCAACCGCCTGTACAATGGATTGTGCTCAGAGGAATTGTTCAATATGATGCCCACAGCCACTTTCTACCATCGTACGGCTCGCCATCGACAGGAAGTTCATCCTCATGTCCTACAGCCTCAATGGTCGCGTACAACGCGGTTTCAGAGATGTTTCCTCCCACGAACACTCAGGTTGTGAAATGAGCTCCCTGCCGAAATTTTCCCAAGAGACTACAGCATGGGGTTCTTCAAAAGGGGTGTAAAGAGGTTTCTTCAGGGTCGGCAACGCACGCGTAATACCTCTGGTATTGCAGGTGTTCATAGGCTACGGTAACCACTTACCATCAGGTGGGCCGTATGCTTGTTTGCCACCTCAGTGGTATAAAAAAAAACTTTGTTAATTCTAAGAGAATTGTGATATGGGATTATTATCACATAAGATATAACAGTTTAGAATTTGAAATCATTGTTGAATTTGCCCGTAGTGATGCCCTAAGTGGATATTGCTCTGATAACGCTGCATGTACTGGCCCTGAGCAGAGGCTGCTAATGGGTGCCGAAGTCTTTTTTTTCTGTCCACATATATTATCAGGATCTGGCTTCAGCCTTAAATATTATTATTTGGTGCCTCACTACCGTATACCGCCACTGCAGGCGGGGTTACCATTCCATTACCACCCATTAAATGAAATAGTATAATAATTTGGAACAATGGGATTACACCGCTGACAGTAACTATCGTTGTTTTCTCATTGTGAATATTTCTTGTAATTGTTTATATTTATAATAAGTTTACTATTGTAATCTTTTGGAGGAAACAATAAAGAGTATTTATCTATATGTTTTTGTTGACGGCACATGGTATTTTGATATTTTTTCATTGTTCATCGAAAATTTGAGCAGGTGTCTCCAAGAAATTAAAACCAGCACTGCCTTTATGTGACGCTTACCCGGAAATTAATTTCTGGTGGCTTTGTCACGACCACCCAACTGAATTGACTTCATCCTCACTTGGCATTGTGTAAAGGTCCTTCTTGGGTGGAAAGGGATTGTTAGTAATGGAGATTTACCAGCCCCATTACTAGCAATAAACTCTGTCAGGTTTACCTCCACGCGGTTTCTCCCGGAAACATCGTCAGTTAGCCCATCGTGAAGAATTCCACAAGAAATAACCACGATAGTTTCCAGGAGGAACCACGAGAATGTCGATCCATTATCCTCCCAATGTATGCCCTTAACGCGGACAGGGTTATCATTTCAGTATCATTTTTTTAAAAAAATCAAGGCTTTGAAGAGATTGTTATTAATGGGTTCTGACAAATCCATTGGTAGCAATATACCCTGTCAGGTCCACCTCCACACGGTTCCCCCTTAAACCCATCATGACTGATTTATCGTTGAATTCGTCACTACGGGCCATCTGACCTGTTTCATTCTCTCTCACCTATCATACCCTCACTGGTGCCCCGCCAATGTATACCGATAGCGTACACGGGGTTATCATTCCCTTATCATTCATTAAAAAAAACCTTACCGATTACAAGAAGACTTGTTAAAACCGGTTCAGAATTGATGTCGTAAACGCGTTAAATGGCAAAAAAATTCATTTCAAATAATCTTTATTCAAGTACTCTTGTTTTTTTTTTTTAATGGATGATAATGAAATGGTAGCCCCGTCTGCGCTATTGGTATACGCTGGCGGGACACCAGTGAGGGATGATAGATGAGAGTGAAGCAGGTCAGTTAGCCCATCGTAACAAATTCAACAATAAACCAATCACGACGGTTTCCAGGGGGAACCGCGAGGAGGTCGACGTGATAGGGTTTATTACTAGCAATGGGGTTGCTAATCCCCATTACTAACAATCCCTTCCCCCCAAGTACTCTTGTTTACAAGCACTTTTAAATCGTCATTTTTTTATCTACTGAAATATTTTTAAGTCTAGGGTTCGGAAAGTTGGTATGTGTTAAGAACAATCCTCAAGAAACGCAAAACAATTACTCTTTTAAATCTTTTTTAACATCTGAACTTATATGTTAAACAATATGTCATTTATCAACTAATATTCAAATGTCCTAATCCAAATCCAATGCAAATATATATATATATATATATATATATATATATATATATATATATATATATATATATATATATATATATATATTTTATATATATATATATATATATATATATATATATATATCCAATATATATATATATATATATATATATATATATATATACACTAGCGGCCCGTCCTGGCTTCATACGGGTGGACATTTTTACAACATTTTAAAAAGTGATTATTGTGACAACGATAATAGTTGGACATATGGACATATAGTATCGCGAAGTTTTTTGTAGTCATTGATATTTTCTTCAATATTGTAGGACATACTTTTGTCACCAATAGTTTCCGCAGCGTGCGCGACGAAAGATTTTTTTATAGCATTATTTTTAGCAATAAATGTAGCCTATGTCACTCAGGATGAATGTAGCTTTCTAATGGTAAAAGAATTTTTTAAATCGGCAAAGTAGTTTTTGAGTTTTTTCATTACAAACATACACACAAAAATACAAGTCTATCCTCTTTATAATAATATATATATATACGAATTGGGCCTTCTATTAGAAGTCGCAAAAATATCTGCTGATTAGGCCATTTGAATATTACTTGATAAATGGCAAATTGTTTATGTCTGGTGCAAAGAGCGTTGAAAAATAATATTGATAGTATTTCGGGTCGATAGTATCAGTACATAATACTTACTGATAATAATTAGATAGGCAGGTTGTTATTTTTTTTATTTCAACTTATAATGGTGATGATGGAAAGTGGTAACTGTCGCCTATACACATGAGCAGTACCATGGACGTAACAAAGGATACTACGTCGCCTATGATACCCTTCATGTGTTGCCATTTCTGAGGATTAAAGTTTTAGGTAGAGACCTAAAACTTTAATCCTCAGAAATGGTACAAAACAGAGGTACCCTGTAATTTTATTGCCATACCTATTTAAACCGGTTAGAATTATTTTCTTTAATTCCTCTACTATTATTGCGACTGCCAACATTTGAAGATTTACTGTCTTCATCCATTCTTTTTTTTTTATTTTTTTTTATACAACTTAGAATGGCAAACAAGCTGACGGTCCACCTGATGGAAAGTGGTAACCGTCGCTTATAGACATGAGCAGTACCGTGAACATAACAGAGTATACTGTTTCGCCCATGATACCACCCATGCGTTGCCATTCCTGAGGACTCAGGTGTTATTCCTCTGTACCCAGTAAATTCACGCCATATCCCACCCTTCAAACCGAAACACAGCCGTGCAAACACAACTGCTTCACGGTTGAAACACGAATGGGACAGAGGTGCCCAAGCAATCGACTTTTGTACAAAGTCTCCCTCTGGTCATGTCTTCAATTCAAATTAACTAACCAGTTATATAGTCCCATTTTTTGTTTTTTTTTTTTTTTTCATTTCTTTTTAGCTGTGTGTTTAGGGTTATGTTCAGCAGTGAACAGTTAAAGGCTGATATGATGACGATGAATAGGGTTCCGCAAAATAACACCTAATTCAATAGAATGTTTGTTATCACTTAGCGTCTTAACTGCTTAACCAATCACACTAAAATTTGGAATACACATACGATATGGGACGAAGAAAGATATAGACTACTTTTTACCCCGGTTATGCGAACAAAGTTAGTTGTCTATTCATCGAGTGTCTTTTTTTTTTTATTTACTTAACCAATAGTTATATTCAGACAGTTTCACATACAATATCAGTTGGTTTGTACTTTAGTCACAAGACTACATTATACATTTTCTAATTATAAAACATTATCTGGATGTGTACCGGCCATAACAGTGATAATGACAGCGTATTAGCATCAAATCTTACGAATACAATGCGACCGGACTGGTCTCACGTGGAACGTGGTAAGCGAGTATTTAAGTCAATAGCTATAATATCTATCTATCCTATTTAAGAGCCGCGCTCTTGTCGGTGGACCTCTTGCCACTCACTACGATTTTCAGTTTTTTTTATACAACTTAGAAAGGCAAACAAGCCGACGGCCCACCTGATGGAAAGTGGTCACCGTCGCCTATAGACATGAGCAGTACCATGGACATAACAGAGTATACTGTTTCGCCCATGATACCACCCATGCGTTGCCATTCCTGAGGACTCAGGTGTTATTCCTCTGTACCCAGTAAATTCACGCCATATTCCACACTTCAAACCGAAACACCGCCATGCAAACACAACTGCTTCACGGTTGAAACACGAATGGGACAGAGGTACCCAAGCAATCGACTTTGTACAAAGTCTCCCTCTGTTTATAATTACTCCTCTTCATTCAAAGGTTGCCTGGAAGAGATCGCCTTTTAAAGGTTTCTGAAGGGTCATCAACGCGCGCGTTGGTATTGCAGGCGTTCACAGGCTATGGTAACCGCTTACCATCAGACGGGCTGTATGCTTGTTTGTCGCCTTTGTGCTATAAAAATTATTGAAGTCGGCGTTATTTTGGAATATATCTCTATTTAACTATAATATTTGTGGCGTTTTGTTCCAGCCGCGGCATTACCGCGCCGCCATATACATCCTGGCGGCGTCCAACGCTGCAGCTCTCTTCGTCGCTGCTAAACTGGTCCTCAGTCTTGAACCTCACGACAGGTACTGTTAAATCACATTTTTTTTTTAAATAAGCTATTCCATTTTTGTGTAGAGAAGGGATAATGAGGGCTAGTGGTTCCATCAGTTCAGTTGATTTCATCAGTCAGTTAGTCCACTGTGATGTATACACCTGAAATTCAGTACAATGGTTTTCAGGGGGGACCACGTGGAGGTCGACCTGACAGACTATATTGCTAGCAATGGGACTGGTAGTCCGCATTAGTAACAATGCCTCTCCCCCCAGAGTTTTATGTTACGTGTACACACTTAACAAACCACGGCAAGTGCTTACAATTACATACATATATTAGATATAATACATGCATACATACATACATTCATACATACATACATACATACATATATACATTCCTGTCATCCATAAGATATACATAGATACAGTATTTAGCTTAAATAAGATCGATTATGTAATTCGGCAGCTGTTTAAAAATTCTCGTTTGGAAACAAATTATAACTGACACTTTTTTGTGGTTTTCTTTTTTTACTTTTGGACGTATTCTAAAAACATTTACGTTAAGAAAATAAAAAAAAATATTTTTACCTGACTACATGTGACAATTTAATAATTTGATGGATCGGTAATTCGATAATCGCAATAGTGTATTAGCGTGACGCAATAGAGACGGACTCGTGACGTAGTCGAGTGATTTGAAGCGAGTCATGCTCATTATAATGCCCAGACGGGTGATGGCAGCCGGCCCAACCATATTATAGGATACCTTACGTATATTTTAAAACATCCCAGAGGGAGACTTTGTACAAGAGTCGTTTGCTTGGGTACCTCTGTCCCATTCGTGTTTCAACCGTGAAGCCGTTGTGTTTGCATGGCTGTGTTTCGATTTGAAAGTTTGAATATGGCAATGAATTTACAAGGACAGAGGAATAACACCTGATTCCTCAGAAATGGCAACGCATGCGGGGTATCATGGGCGAAACAGTACGAGGTCTGTCCGGAAAGTTCGTATAAAAGTGTTCTGGAATGCGAGAAAGAGGAGTGGGGAGGCCAGGTAAGCGCAGGACCCCTTCCTTATGTCCCTAACAATGCTTCAGTTCTGGTCTGACCGCCGTGCGGTGCGAACTGGCTTGTCACGCCATCTGTGAAGTTACCTCTTAACGAAACCCCGTCGGCATGGAGCCCGCTTCCGTTGAAGAGCAGCGCGTCGTAATCAAGTTTCTCTCGAAACTCGGCAAGAATGGCCGTGAAATTTTTGCCGATCTCAGAACAGTTTATGGGGATGATGCTGTGAAGGAACCAACCGTCCACAAGTGGCTAAAAAGATTCAGAGAGGGCCGAGAAAGCGTTTAGATGACCCACGTTCAGGACGTCCTTCCACTTCACATTCCGACGAAAACATGGAAAGAATTCGAAACAGTTGTGTTAATGGGGACCGTCGTTTAACGGTCAGACAGGTGGCTGAAGAGCTTAATTTGGGCAAAACCGTGGTCCACGAAATTCTAAGAAACGAACTTCAAATGAAAATAATTTGCGCCAAGATCGTTCCGTGAGTTTTTGAGTAAAAATTCCATTACGGTGACCGAACACCCCCTATTCGCCGGATTTGGCCCCGTGTGACTTCTTCTTGTTCCCAAAAACCAAATTGGTACTTCGGGGGCGGCATTTGGGGGACATAAATGAGATAAAAAAAGCTACGACGGGGCAGCTGAGAAACCTACAACCAGAGGACTTTCAAGGAGCCTTCTCACAGTGGAAACGGCGTTGGCACAAGTGCATTATGTCACAGGGGGAGTACTTTGAAGGGGATAAAATTGATTTACCTGAATAATTGTAAAATAAAATTTTTAAAAAACTTTTATACGTACTTTCCGGACAAACCTCGTATACTCTGTTATGTCCATGCTACTGCTCATGTCTATAGGCGACGGTTATCACTTTCCATCAGGTGGGCCGTCAGCTTGTTTGCCATTCTAAGTTGTATATAAAATCACAAAGCCTAACTGCGGTTGCCAACTCACCTACAAAGTGAGGCAATTATTGGCAACCCATCACCCCCTCCCCCCTGTCGGAGAGGCCTATGTTCAGCAGTGGACAGTTAACATTTTATATGATAAACGACCCTGTGGTTGAGAGTACAGTTGACTGGCTCGTCCAACATGTCGTGACGGACGGGCCAGTCAATGTGGACGGGTAGGTACCGACAACTGGCTTATTTGTCATTCTACTAGTAATTCTTTAGTGCAGTTTACTAGACTTATTAATAATATGGATTGGTAGTTAGGTCTTTTCTAACTGTATAATTGTTAGTTAGTGTACATTGACGTTTGTCTGTGAGAGCTGTATACATCTTTAATTGATGTGTTCATATGGCCTTAAGCTTGGTAGTGAGGAGTGAGATGTTTTTGTTCAAACTTAGATTTAAGCATTTTGTAATAGTAGTTTTTCTCTTTTACTTATTAATAACATTGTATATTGTCTGCTTAATTATTGTGAGCATATTGTTGGTGTGTCTTTTATAAATAAATAAAATAAATATTCGTGGACGCCTTATGAGGGCTGGTTTGCTCATGTTGACTATTTAAAATTGTATTGTATTGTAGTATTTTTCAATGCTATATCATAATAAAATAAAAATAAAAAAATTGTCAATAAAATAAAAAAAAATATTTTGAGGTAGGTCATCCATATCATTGAGAGGTATGCAAAATAGATGTTGGCCGATTCTCAGACCTACACAATATGCACACAAAATTTCATAAAAATCAATAAAGCCGTTTCGGAAGAGTTTGGTAACAAACATCGCGACACGAGAATTTTATATATTAGATTTTGTGTTTGGCCTCTTCGCTTATATTGTTTTTTTGATTTTCTTACATAATTTGCACTCTGACCTGGCATAAAAAATATGATAAACAGTTGAGTTCCCGTCATCGTATTGTCATCGACACGCTGATCAAGTTAATTTTACAGTTCTTTAGTAATTAACCGACTTCAAAAAAGAGAGGGAAGGCAGCAGCAATAGGAGAAAATGCATTTAAACGACTAAACATTCAGATATTTTGTACAAAGTGTCATTAATAATATTAAATACAAATAGGTTTAAGGAAACTACGAAATTTGATTTAGAACTAACTGATAATAGTTAATGGTTTTCTAGTAGTGGGGATTAATAGGCCCATTGCTAGCAATAGCAATATAGCCTGCCAGGTCGACCTCCACTTGATTCCCCATGGAAACTATAGTGCTTAATCGTAAAGAATTTGTCACAATGGACCAATGGACCTGCTTTCATGCCGATATATATATATATATATATATATATATATATATATATATATATATATATATATATATCGGTTTCTTTGTAGTCTCCATTACTAACAATCATTAATTCCGAATCCTTCAAAGCGTTTTCGACTAATCGGCATACATAAAAAAAATTAAACATTCTGACGAATTGGGAACCTCCCTCTTTTCAAGTCGGTTAACAAATAAACACACACATTTAGAATGTTAGTAAGTACTACATTACGGCACAGTTAAAACTTTCAGTGCGTAACTCCACTAGCATGATGTAACTACATGCCTACACTATGTCGTCATACACTTTGTATGGTCATATGGTTTTGTAGCTACCATGCTGTATGAATCACTTCTGATTCTGATGAAAGAGTGGCGGTCTTCCACCGTGCGTTTTTCAAGGCACGTTCTTCCACGTACAACCACTCTATGGAATCAACCTCCAGCGGCAGTATTTCCGAACCGATACGACATCGTAACCTTCCAGAAAAGGGCGTATTCCTTTTTAAAAGGCCGGCAGCACTCTTGCAATGCCGCTGGTGTTGCGGGTGATCATGGGCGGCGGTAGTCACTTACCATCAGGTGAGCCGCGTGCTCATTTGCACCCTGTGTTGTAAAAAAAACTTGAGGATTGATTAAAAAAAAATAAGTATTTTTATCAGTTGTCTATTACTCACAGTATAAGCTTTGCTTATCTTATCTTTTTTTTAATATTATTTTAAGGACTTCTACCTTCTTCAGGTATATCAGTCCTATTGTACCCTGAACTGATTTCTCAAACAAAACTTTATCTACTTTCCCTAGACGCGGAAAGAGAAGAATTAATGGGCATCAATAATTTACAGAGATGTTTAAAAATGTCTGGTTTAAGTTCTTATATTCGCATATGGGGTCAGCTAAGCTGTTGCACGTCGACACATCGGGATCTTTTGTGCTTCCCCCTGCCTTATACCATCAGTATTATAATGACATAAACGTTCTTAATTGGATATAGATATGTAGATAAATTGTATGTTCACCGTTATAAATGGTTATTTTTTTTGATGGGTGAAAATGCTATGGTGATAGTTTCCAGGAGGAACCGCGAGGAGGTCGACCTGGTTGGGTATATTGCTAGCAATGGGATTCTCAGCCTCCATTACTATTCCCCCAGCGCGGGTGGGATTACTATTCCATTATCACTCATTAAAAAAAAACGGTAAACCCTAGTGGGGACTCAGTGTGGGATGATAGGTGAGAATGAAAAGGTCAGTTAGCCCATTTATGTAAATACACTTGAAATTAATCATACGCACAACGGTCCAAATGAGAGGCTAAGCGCGGAAAAGAGATTCTACATCTACATCTACCTGTAATTAAGAACTATGGTTTCCATGGTGGGACCACGTGGATGTCCACCTGACTCCAATATGCCCTATATTACTAGCAATGATACAGGTATCCCGTGTTACTAACAATCCCTTCCCCTGACATTTGTACACTTGATATTTGATTCCATTTTTTTTTTTTTTTATTTATAAATAGGCTAATATCTGGTAGTTCATCGCGATCGATACGTTTTATTCATACGAATTAATTAATATTTAATTTAATTAATTTGGCCCAGCTTGACCTAAGTTAATAAGTTTATGCTAATAATTAGAAGTGTTACGAGTGTTGCAGTGCACACAAATTGTATGATTGCATATTTTTGTTTTTAAATAATTTATTTCCCATGAAAAGT